CTGTCACTCCTTATTTTCTTAATTTTCTTATTCAACTGAGTTTCAACTTCGGACTTATAAGTTCTAAAAGCATTCACAGCCTCATCTTTGCTACTAAGCAAATAAACATAACAATACCTCGAGTAGTCATCTATAAATGTGATAAAATACTTATTACCACCTCTTGACGGTATTGATTTCATATCACATATATCTGTGTGTATTAAATCTAAAGGTTCTGAGACTCTATTGTCTACAGAATGAAAAGGAATCTTAGAAAATTTAGATTCAACACACACTTGGCATTTCTCACTTGAACAATCGAATTTTGGCAATAACCCCATGTTCGTTAATTTCTTTATCGACTTATAGTTAACGTGTCCTAATCTAGTATGCCATAAATTAGGAGACTCAAGCACATAAGCAGAAACAACTTTATTCATAACATCATTGGGTACAACAGTCATTACATTCAACTTGAAAAGACCATCACTAAGGTAACCCTTTCCTACATACATCTCATTCTTGGAGAGTACAAACTTATCGGATACAAAAATCAACTTGAAGCCATTCTTGCTAAGAAGAGATCCGGACACTAAATTCTTGCGTATGTCTGGCACATGTAGCACATTGTTTAGTGTCACAATCTTTCCGGATGTCATCTTTAGAGCAATCTTTCCGACCCCTTCAACCTTAGAGGTTGATGAATTACCCATATAAAGTTTTTCATCACCCCCCACAGTTGTGTAGGTCGAGAACATCGATCTGTTTGCACAGATATGACGAGTTGCTCCAGTATCAATCCATCACTCTTTGGGGTTTCCCACCATATTACATTCTGATATCATAGCAGTCAGATTGATATCGTCAACACCATTGGAAATCTCTTCCACCACATTAGCCCGAGTTTTCTGTCTTTTCTTGGCTCTGCAGTCTTTGGCTCGATGTTCAGACTTGCCACAGTTGAAGCACTTGCCAACGAACTTCTTCAGGCCTTGGTTGAATCCCTCTCCAGACTTGCTAGGCATTTTCCTCTTCTTGTTGGATTTCGATCCTTCTTCAACAACATTGGCCTTTGAAACCTCTAGGTTCTTCCCAACTTTCTTCTCGGAGAGCCTATTGTCTTCCTCAATCCTCAACCGAACAATCAAGTCTTCAAGTGACAACTCCTTTCTCTTGTGTTTGAGATAATTTTTGAAATCTCTTCAGGATGGTGGCAGTTTTTCAATGAAGGCAGCCACTTGAAATGTCTCACTTAGAGTCATTCCTTCAGCATGAATATCATGCATAATCACTTGAAGCTCTTGAACCTGACTTAAGACGGTCTTTGAATCAACCATCTTGAAGTCCAGAAATTTACCGACAATGAATTTCTTCAATCCGACATCTTCGGTTTTATATTTCTTGTCCAGACTATCCCATAACTCCTTAGCCGTTTTCAGTGGACTATAGACGTTATAGAGAGTATTTTCCAGACCGTTGAGGACATAGTTGCGACACAGGAAGTCAGAATGATTCCATGCATCCACAGCAGCCAACCTTTCTTTATTTGTCTCTCCAACGTCCAATTTAGGACCATCCTCATTGAGGAATCTAGCCAAGTTCAAGGTCGTGAGATAGAACAACATCTTTTGTTGCCATATCTTGAAATCCGTACCATTGAACTTTTCTGGCTTTTCTCCGTGATTTGGAATAGGGTTGACCGGAGTCGAAGTCGAAGCCATTTCTGAAATATAAAAACAGAACATACTCACGAACAGAATCGGAAATATATGACTACGAACAGAATCGTTTGTTTATGAACAGAATTGAAAATTTTTTATATGAACGAAAACGAAAAATTTGTTCACGAACAGAATTGAAAATTTTAATAAGGACAGAATGAATGAATAGAATGTGCGAATAGAATGTACAAACAGAACGCACGAACAGAATCGTATTCCTATACGACTATGACAAGGAACATACGAACTATACAGAATACTTGTATTAACTGAGAAGCATACGAATAGAACCGAAGGAAATTCGTCTTAAGATTGTAGTTCGGCTAAGTTCGTATACTAGAATTGAAATCAAATGCTAAGAAAACTAACCTGAAAGCAGTACAACCAAATAAGCAGAATGTTGATCTGAGCCCAACGAAATAACATCATGTCCTTAAGACGAATTTGGCCCCTCAATCAGTACCCGAGAATATTGGACAATCGTCTCCCAGGATAGAACGGATCTCGTTCCTCCGAAGCGGTACGTATTCGGAGGACTCCTACGAATGCAATTTCGCAGAATAATCGCACAAAACGATAATTAGGAAGCGAAAAATGTCTAGAGTGCGTTGGGAAAATGTCTCGCGGGAACGTAAAATGCCACGAAGTGTCACTTCCGAACTAAACCGTTCGGATATATGTATATGGCGAAAATTGAAGAGTTGCGAGTAATGAAAGCTCGCCGGCGGTTCCCGTTCAATTCGTGAACAGTAGCGAAGGTTCACTTGAACCGGTTTGGTTCGTGAATAGTTGCGAAGGGCTTCGGTTTTCGTTCGGGCGAACCGAACCTCACGAACAGACATGTTTGTTTGTCCAAAAAAAATAAAAAAATGATAATAATAAATAAATCAATTCTAAACAACGTGTCTGTTCGGAAAAATAAAAAACCGGAGCTGGACAGACGGCGGCGGCGGCGCGCGCGCGGGGGGACCGACCTAGCTTGGCGTAGATTCTCTCTCTTCCACAAAAGTGAGGTACCCCTTGGGGCCCAAACCCATTTGAGAGGCTCCTCAAAATAAACCCTTTCCCATCACCTCTTCTATTCTATGTGAGACACTTTCATCCACACACTTTTCATTCAATTCTATGAGATTTGGATGCCAAAATCCCAACAGACTTTTGACTTGCTTTCCCATGCCAAAGTCTCTTTCTTTCATTCTTTCAATCGAGTAGGTTTTGTAGGCTTTTGCCTTTTCCCCTTCTTTAGTCGGACGAAAAGAATAGGAAAATGCAACGAAGCAAGCAAGAAAGTAGAAGACGTTGACTTGGGACTTGTGTGCTGTCCAGACAATTAACCAATCAGGATTAATTTAAACTTGATAATTCGCCGCCTCCTCTCATTACCTTCTTTTAAAATTTTAATTTAAAATTTGAGATAAGTGAGTTGCAATTTTAAGACTTGGAATAAAATATATCAAACGATTATATCATAATTAATAATATAATTCGTATTGGGAACTTTGCAAATCAATCCATTTTGTAATTCGAAAACATACTGTTTGTGGCAATCTACATTCACTCCATTACAAAAATTGATTATCTAAGTCAAGCTGTTTTCAATGCAATGATCTTATTTTGAGTAGGATGCTAGATATATTTGATTCAATTTTGTGTAATCTTTATTGATATGATCCACGATTTGTCGAATCTCACAAATATTCGAAATATTGTCGGCGTCTTTTATGTAGCTATCTTTATGTTTAAGGTGTGGTATCATATATCTTTCCATATTTCATGTGACAGATGATTGGGGACAAGGATGGCGATGTTGATTGGTAGTATGGTGGGGGGAGAGAAAGAGAGAGAAATGATGTGGTAAAGCAAAAGATATTTCATGTGACAGTTGTATCACATGGTGTGATAAATCAATGCAAAGTATATATTTTTAACATTTCAGTGCCCATTAGAATGACCTGGACATTGCATGGGCAACATGGATTTGATCGATTACACCACATCCGTCATGTGATCGATGCATAATATTACTTTCACTTTGTATCCTGATTTCACTTTATATCCTCTATTTTTATGGCTATGAATCTCTGATTTAAAATATTTTATTAGATGAATGGGACATGGAAACTCCTAGGACGACAACATATTGATTGATCAATGGAAACTTCTGGGAAACTTCCGAGATGACCAGTAAAGCGCGTTCTACTTTTTGGCATGTCCTTTGAATGTGACTAGTGGACAAGAATTTCTCGAACAATTTTGTAAACCGCGTCTGAGGAAGACTTTTCAATAAGGGTCCTTCCTCGGCTCTTAATGCAAGATGGAGGAAGACTTTGACCTGCTTTTCCATCGTCAGTCTTTTCCTTTCTCCCTCCTCTTTTCTTTTGAGTAGGTTTTGTTGGCGTTTGCCTTGTGAAGAAAAGGAAAGGAAAATGCAACGAAGCAAGCCAGATGTCAGAAGACTTTGGTTTGCTTTCCCGTGCTACACGCTGTGAAGTAGATTAGCCAACACCGATGATTTGGGACTTGAGTGCTTTCCAGAAAAATTAACCAATCAGGATTAATTTAAATTTGATAATTTATCGCCTCCGCTCATGACCTTCTTTTGAAATTTTAATTTAAAATTTAAGATGAGCGAGTTGCAATTTGTAAGATTTGATATAAAATATATCAGGCTACTCACAGTTGGATCCTAATTAGTAAAATAGTTTGCATTGAGAATTTTTCAAATCAATCCATTTTGTAAATAAAAAAAGTACTGTTCGTGGCACTCTACATTCACTCCATTGCTAAATCTAATTATCTAGACTGTTTTACAGCTTAATTTCCAAAATCAAGTTGTTTTCACTGCAATCATCTTCTTGTAAGTGGGATGCTAGATATATTTGGTTTGATCATGTGTAATCTTCATTAATGTGATTCGCGATTTATCAAATCTCGCCTTGGAATATTGTCAGCGTCTTTTATATAGCTGTCTTTATGTTTAATGTGTGGTATAATATATCTTTCCATATTTGTTTGGGATCTAGATCTGTGTACTATAAATGATCATTTGAAATGGCACGGCATAGTCAAGCATTCAAAATTTGTCACATTATTTTGTACGTAAGTGATAATGTGAATAACTCTTTTCAATCTCTTATATTATTCTAACTGGTTTTATATGTAACACCGGCCACATAATACTTCGTAAAGTGAGGTTAAGATTATGATACATATATAATAATTTTAATTTAAGTAAATTAAATAATTCCAAGAAGGTTAAGATTTTGATACATATATTAATTTTGATTTAGTAATTACATTAATTCCAATGACGGATAAGTCTCTTCAATTAAAAGCTATTCATGTGTTTTTCTTAAGAGATAATCACACAAATGATTTCTGAATTTTGATTCAATATGAAATGTGATCCATGAACTTTTAAAGAAAAGTTTAATCAATTAACGCTCAAACAAACTTACTCGTCCCCATTCACCTACAACATCCATCTCCAAATGTCAAAAATGCCCTCAACACCAATTATCAAATTATCACCACCATCCATACAACAGAAACAGAAGCGCTCATCCAACGTAAGGGCACTTGCGTAATAATATTGCAAGACGGGGACTACTTACAACGGCATCGAACATCCTTCACTCCCTCCGTCTCTTTCCTTTTCCTTTGTATCCATTATAAGGTACTGCACTGCACTGCTCTCTCTCTCTCTCTCTCTCTGCGCAGAGCTCTCATTCTTCAATCCTCACGCATTCACGTACTCCCTCAGCCTTTTCCACTCTCTCGCTCTTCGCTCCGCTGGAAACATGGCGGTTTCCGGCGAACACCGACCTCTCAACGGCTCTCTCCCTCACGAGCTCACCTCCAAGACTCCCTTCCCCAGCCTCATGCTCTACATCCTCATCGGAATCCTCAGCCTCTCCGCTCTCTCCATCGCTCTCCTCATATACCTCCACGTCCGTCTCAGCCGGACCTCGAAGAAGCGCAGAACGCTAGCAAAAGAAACGAATTTGCGGGCATCATCCGGGCCTTCCTACGAGGTTTTTCTAAGTTTTCGAGGACTAGACGCCCATCATGGATTCACCGATTGTCTTTACCGTAACATGGTTGAGGCCGGGATCCTTGTCTTTAGGGGCAGTGAATCCCTCCATGTCGGTAAAAGAATTGGCAATGAACTTGAACAAGCAATCGAGAACTCCAAGATTTACATTCCCATATTCTCCAAGAATTACGCTGCGAGTCACTGGTGCCTCGAAGAGCTCGCATACATGGTTGATTGCAAATCCAAATCGAATGGGAACAAAGAGATTTTGCCCATTTTCTTGGATGTGGAACCTGACGATGTCAAGCTCAAAACAAAATTATACAGCAAAGCTCTTTCAAAGCATCGGAAAAGGTTCTGCACTGAAGCAGTAGAATCATGGGAAAAGGCTCTCATTGAGGTAGACGAGATAAAGGGATGGAACTGGAAGAAAGACCATGGGTAAATGTCTTAAACTTTTGAACTGTCATATGTAGATTTCCTTTTTCCTCCCGAGTCTTTTTAATTGAGGTCTTATTGTTGAAAATATAGCTTATTCATCTCCTCGATTTTATATAGTTTAAGTAGCGGTCGCAGCCACTGCCGCCATTGCTATCGGCCCCTATAGCGGAGAGAATAGAATTCTCACTTGGTAGTGGTCAATAGTGGCCGCTATCGGCAGTATCGCGGCAATAGCTTTGGTCAACGGCGCTATTGCGGTGGTAGCGCACCCTCCTCATCCTGATTTTCTCTCTCCTCTCACTCTCCGTCTCTGACACGGTAGCCATGAATAGTAATGAATCTCCGAGTAGATCCACCAAGTTGCTGGCTAGCCACCGCACGAGCTCGTCTGTCAGTCGCTGCCACTTCTTCGTCGCCAGCCCTACGCGAAGGCGCTAGAAGGCTCCGAGCCATCCCACCTCAATGGGTGACGGCACCGGAACCCCATGTTGACGGTGCGGGAAGGTGAGTGACGTCCATGGCAGTGTGGCAGTGGCAAGGGCTGACGGTGATGGTGACTGAAGTTAGGGAGCAGAGAGAGATTCGCAAAAATCATAATAGTATTGGTGTCTAGAGTTTTTTGGCGTAATTTCCTCAACATGTGAGGGCAATTTTGTCGCTTTGGGAGTAGTTTTACAATATGACAGTTATCCCTAACATGGTTGTTACCTTATGGCAGCCAAGGAGATCTTATCCATTCGGTAATTCGAACGGTTTCAATTAAGCTGAAGGTTGCATATGAAAATGTGACTAAGCATTTAGTCGGAGTTGATGATCGTGTAGAAGCTATAATGAAAAAGTTGGATGTGGGATCTGATGGTGTACAATTTCTCAAAATCCACGGAATGGGCGGTGTTGGCAAAACAACCCTTGCTAAGGTCGTCTTCAACAAACTATCTTCTAGCTTTGACCGATGTTGTTTCCTTGCAGACGTTTGCGAATCATCAAAAGGCAATGATGGTCCGCTAAATTTGCAAAAACAATTGTTATTGAAGCTCCTTGGTTCTCATTCTATCGACAAAATTTATCACGTGAATGATGGGATCAACATGCTTGATAGAGGAGTACTTAGAGACAAAAAAGTACTCATTATTCTTGATGACGTGGACGAGAAAGAGCAACTGAAAAGTCTTGTAGATGAAGTTGATTGGTTTGGTTCTGGTAGTAAGATTATCATAACTACTAGGGACAAGAGAGTCCTAACCGAAGGCCCAAATGTTTCGACTTACGAAGCACGTGAAATGAAATTTAATCATGCTCTTAAACTTTTCAGTAGGCATGCCTTTAGAAGAGACTATCCACCAAATCATCTTGTCTCCCTTTCCGAAAAAATTGTCCGTACTTTGGGAAAACTTCCTTTAGCTCTTGAGATTACAGGTTCGTCCCTTACAGGTAAATCCGAAGAATTATGGATCTCCACATGGAAGAAGCTACAAGGAGCTCCTCCCAATGATGTCCAAAAGAAATTGATGATATCTTATGAAAGGTTGGATCTTGCAGAAAGAGAAATATTTCTGGATATAGCTTGTTTTTTTGTTAATGAGGATAGAACATACCCTTTCTATATGTGGGATGACCGTAAATACCACCCACACATTGCCATTGATGTCCTCGTTCTCATGTCCTTGATAAAAATCAAAGACAACAATACTTTCTGGATGCATGACCAAGTGCGGGACCTCGGAAGGGAAATCGTTCATCAAGAGAATTTCAAACATCTTAGCGAGCGTAGCAGAGTGTGGAAATGCGAGGAAGCGCTGAGCATTCTGAAGCAGAAAGAGGTAAAAAAGGGAGCAACAATTTATTTTTCTGCGAATTTTTTGTATACTATTCTTGCAAAAGGAAAAATTAATTGCTATTAACACTTGAAATTGTTTGTTTTTCACCTTCACATGTGGACTTCTTGGTGTTCCCATTGTCAGAGAAATAGGAACATAGAAGCATTGTCAGTACAAATTCGTGGAACATATTCCTTTGGTCGAGAGATTTTGACGCCCGATGGATTTGCTAATTTACAAAACTTGAGGTTCTTTCGGGGGGGTGCTGTGTCCATTGTTGGAGACTTCAATAATCTTCTCTCCAATTTAAGATGGCTTTCTTGGAATTCTTGGCATTGCAGCAATTCCAAGTTTGAGACGACAAACTTTCATCCGATTAATTTAGTCGTTCTTAACCTTTCATCCAGCGGTATTTCGGAGGAATGGATTGGCTGGGACCAAATCAAAGTATGATACGAGTCCCACTCCTTGCATAACCATATCCTTTCTTGTCACGCCCCGAACCCCATCGAGCTCGCGACATCCCCTGCTCCGGTCGAAATGATGCGACGTCCCAGGAACGTCGCCAACCCAACCCAAACATCAGAGTCACATGCGGAAGCGAATATAAAAACCCCGGACAAAAAGATGACGACAACGGGGTAGAACAACAGAACAGACAAACAACAACATCCTCATACAGCACCAAATATACAAACATCATATTACAGACATAAATATAGACGAACATCCTCCACCACCGTTTTAACAAAAGATCAAGGTCTGGTTAACTTAACTTCCCTATGGGTCAACCCGATTTACATAACCCCTAAAACCCTAGGGAAAAACCTAAGGATCGCCCTCCTCCGGTCCCGCTTCGAATCTTCGGTCCGAGCCTCCTGGGACACTCACACCGCAACTCCTTGGGCACCAAAAGCGCTCCCGGACTTCCAAAAAGAAAAGGCGCACTTCCCGGGTTTAGGGCCGGGGGTCTGAAAGTGGCGGTTATACAACCGTGAGACGAATCTCAATAAGTGTACAACCCCAAACCCCACGTAGGCACTCACGTACCGCCAGACGAAACATGCATAACACACAGCAATCAACCAAACTAGCAACCACACGCGACCCTACCTGGAATCCATCATGCACGTCCCTACACGTTAGTCAACCACACAGCCAGTATGCCACAGAAATACATCACAGCCGCGCGCGTGCCCCGATTATAGAGCAAAACCCACTTGGGCACGTCCCATACCATGCCTAGCAGTTTTTTCCCCATAATCGAGCATCACACCACGCAATACAAACACACTCGCACACCAACTCACACCACTCGTCACTTTCTCAAACCTCGCACCTCAAGCCAATTCCCGCTCATTCTCAACTCTTCCACCACTACCGCGCCGCGTAAAACGCATCAGGCCAACGGTCTTCGACCTCGTCGGCATCATCACCCCGTCGGGCCGGGCATCGTCACCTCGTCGGGGACGGCATCGTCCCGCGTAAACGAACACGCCTCGGGACGGAATCCTACACACACTTTCCTTCTACCGCGCCCGCGCAAAACGCATCAGGCCAACGGTCTTCGACCACGTCGAGGCATCGACACCTCGTCGGGCCGGGCATCGTCACCTCGTCGGGGGACGGCATCGTCCCGCGTAACGTACACGCCTCAGACGGACCTTTCCAACCAAACCACATTTCCATATCCTCGTTCCACTCAAACCACACTTACGCACGACCAGCAACCACATGACCCAACACAATTCCACATTGCACGCACAATTCACAAGTCACATACACTTCGCAAATATACATTCTCACCACGCAAGCACACCACACAATCATACACATATAACACGCGATCCCAAAGCACAATCACACATTCTTGGCAAGCGAACATATTGCGCAATCGCACTGCCACACCATCACACCTCACGGCCACACACGTGACATATACGACCACACGTACACAACTCGAAACGCAATCCCAAATCAGCCAACTACCACAAATCGCACAATCACGCACAAATTTCCATTCAAGGCACAATCCCAATAATTAATCGCACAAATTAATTCCAATCAAACCTCAACATCACAGCCATAATCCAAGCTCCCTAAACCTCAAAATTCTTCGCCTAATCAGTCCGCAACCACCAAATAATCAGTCACTCAAATCAGTCCCGAACAACCCCTAAAACAGTCACAAAATCGCCTAAACCGGGTCCAAACTGGGCAGTTGTGCAGTGACAGAAATCCATTTGAAATAAATAGTAAACCAACTCCAAAAATTATGAAATTTGAATATGTTGTACAACACATCTCAATGAACATTTTCCATGAAGAACTCGAAACCCAGTTCTAACCGTAAACACCTCGTTTTAACACTCAAAATCGGACAAAATCCGATTCGCTCGGACAGCCCCTCAGGCCATCAAAATATAACTCATTCGGTACCCAAATCATTTTGGAAAACCTTGAAATTTTTATATGTTATAGCCACAAATTTACCCATCAATTTTTGTGAAGGAAGTATTTTGAAAATAGGCCTGGAAAAATTTATAAAAAATTCGAACAGACCCGAAGGTCGGGTGAACAGTAAATCGGGCAGTTTTATTTCGGTCCAAAGATGGACTTCCGAATGGCATCAAATGATTTCCAAAAATTCCCAAATTAAAATATGTTATACTTCAAGATGTTGGAAGCAACTATCATGAAGAAACCTTCCTCAAATTCGGGCCACACAAGTCACAGTAAAAATAGCAAAATCTGGCGATGCAGCAGCAGCCTAGCCGGAAATCAGTTAACACACACCACCAAGCAAACCAGCCACTAAATTCATTCTAAACCGAGCCCTAAACAAGCCTAACAATACCCGAGGTCCTAGGCGACATTTGGGGAGGTCACTTACCTAAGAAAGGCGAAACAAACGGGCTGGATGGGTGGCTGAAATGGGCGGAACAGCAGCAGCAGCAGCAGCAGCAGCAACGGTGATGAGAGGAAACAAAAAATGAAGAGAATGAGAGAGAGAGAGAGAGAGAGAGAGAGAGAGAGAGAGAGAGTGATCGTGGAAGGGGGGGGGGGGGTTCTGGCCAGAAGAGGGAGGAGAGAGAGAGAGAGAGTCAATATTGGTCAAAAAAGTGGGCTGGTGAGGTGACACGTGTCGCGATCCTACGCGATTTCCCATTTTGCCCTTGATCCAACGGCCCTCGTTTGTTCCAATCCAATAATTGAAGGGCAAAGAGGTCAATTGTCCAATAATGCAGCTGATATTTTCAGACCTGATTATCCCAAAATTATCCCCAAAATTCGGAACTGAAATGGGCCCAGGGGCAAAATTGTCATTTTTCCGGTCCCGGGGCGAAATTCCAATTTTCGCACATACGGGTTCCATATGTGTGTGGCCAACATAATATGGCGTCGGAATCGTGAAAATAGCTCCTTAAGCCCTCGAAAATCGACTGCAAAGTCCTGGGAATAAAATAATATTATTTTTCACTTCCGAGCCAAAATTCCAATTTTTGACCGAAACAACTCTAAATGCACGTGGCCACCCCAAAATGACACTAGCCTCGAAAAATAACCTCAAACGATCTCAAAATCCAACATCGGTGTCCACAGGGGCAAAACCGTAATTTTTCCGGCCCCGGACCGAAATCCATTTTTTTTGCAGAAATGGGTGGCCCCAAGGTTGGCCAAGCCAAAAACGTCATCGGCCGCTCAAAATTGTCACTTTCAAAATTCTCGATTCCCGGGCCCGAATTCCAAGAAATGACTAAAATTGAACAATCGCGACTTTAGCTTATCTCTTGCTAACGGGTGGCTCCCTGGAATTACGCGCTCTCGACCCGTGACCGACACTAAGTCAAATCATGTTTAAGTTTACTCTTCCCAGGACGACCTCGATTGTCATATAATTGCGAGGGTCTGTCACTAGTGCCCTTCGGACACGATCAATCAAATAGACCGGTCTCGGTTGGCTCAAAACATTCCCTTGTCAATCCATATGGTTGAAGATCAAACCTAGGTCGAGTTCTTTGGTCGTGCGAACTCAATCCCTTAATAGCCTTACCCCTAAGGTTAGCATCCCGAGAATGCGCGGGTCCCGGGTGAGATCTCACTATAGTGCATTGGTCAAATTCATTTCCTAAATCCCGGGAAAAGGATCGAAAATTCAGACTGTTACATTTCTTTTGTCTAATTTTTTTCCCTATAGGTTGTTTCTTGATACATATTCTATTAAATTGTTTTGCAGGAGGCCAGAAAACTAAAAGTACTAAATCTTAGCTACTGCAAATCCTTAAAGAGAACACCTGATTTATCTACGTGGGTGTCCTTGGAGAGATTGGTTTTTGAAGGCTGTTCCAACTTAATTGAAATTAACCCATCCATTGGTAAATTAAAGCTCCTAACTTCTTTGAACTTGAGGGGATGTCAATCTCTTCGAGAGTTGCCTAAAGAAATAGGATGTCTACAAGCTTTGATAGAGATTGTCATGCCTAAAACGCTACATGAACTTCCGGAGACGTTTGGTAATTTGCAGTCACTGTTGACCTTAGTTGTATCATGGAGGCAGATCAACAAATTGCCATACTCAATTGGAGGGCTGGTGAAACTTATGCGGTTGAATTTATCTAGGTGTATATACATAGAAGAACTTCCAGATTCGATTGGGAAATTACAATCATTAGTTGAGTTGGATTTGTCACGGACGAGAATTTGTCACCTACCCGATTCAATCGGCAATCTAAAGCAACTGAAGGTACTAAGGATGAGAGGCATAAGAAGGTTAACAAAATTGCCAAGTGCGATTGGGTTGGTGGAGAAGCTCGAAGAGTTGGATGCTCACGGATGTCGCAACTTGACCGGCGAAATCCCCGAAGAAATTGGGAGACTGTCCTGTTTGAGGATCCTAAACTTGTCAAACACATGTATATCCGGATTACCCACCACGGTGAGTCACCTCTCTAATCTCCAAATACTTAAGCTAGGAAAATGTCCCGAGCTGAAACAATTGCCGGAGCTTCCCCCAAGTTTGACTTGGCTGATATGGAGCCCTCTTAATTTCCCGCGTTCCCTCACGAGAATTGGTGGCCTATCTCAACAGGGAACACTTGTCACCGCTCTTCCTACTAGTATCAGTACCCTATCTCAACTTAAAACACTATCATTGTCCTGCAAATACGTGCAATTCCTCCCCCGGCTCCCGTCTAGTTTAAGTGAGTTACGACTTCGAGATCTGGAGACCACACGATCACCGGATTTTTCCAATTTGAAAAACTTGTCAATCTTGGCATTCTATAAATGCTCGCTAGAATTCTCTAGTATATTTGATGCGGAGTCGGAGGAACTCCGTGTGGAGCTCTGTAAGCTTAGAAAAGAGGACTCACCGTCGCAGCCGGAAATGAAAGGATTGAGATTATTAAAGATGAACGGTTGTGAGTTCCTTCCAGAAGTACTTGACCTATCGCGTATGAAGAATCTATGCGAGGTAAGTCTGAGACTTTGCGATTCATTAGTCGAGATTCGTGGCCTTGAAGAATTGGGATCCCTTGGCTCCCTATCAGTCGACGGATGCCCTTCCATGGAGACGATGTCAGACCTATCGAAATTGAAAGAGCTAAGGGAGCTCGAGGTAATAAATTGTGGTAATCTAAAAAGAGTGCAAGGTCTAAATCACTTGGGGCCTTTAAAGACGCGGAGAATCTCTGGTAATGGAGAGTTTCGGGGCTGCTCCAATTCCTAGATCCGCTGCATTCTTCGGCGGGTCGCCGCGGCCTCCACCATCGCCCCTAGGAGCCCCTTGGCGGCTGCCGGTTGGAATATGGCAGCATCAAATTTCGCACCAGAACTTGCAACTGGTAATTCTAAAATTGCACACCAAATGCTTGCGCAATTGCCTCTTTCCCTGTTCGAATCTGGATATGAAGTTTCGTTACGGTGGTTTGCTGGGTGAAGTTTCTGGTGTTGAGCTAAATGGGAAAACTGTGCGAATGGACATCTTAGTTTTGATTTGATTTGATTTGGTGTGCAGAGGGTGGTAAAAACCCCACATTTCAAGAGAAGTTTGTGTTCACGCTCGTTGAAGAGCATAGGTAGTTGAATCTTGCGGTGTGGAATGGCAATATCTGCACTTTGGGCATGTACGATCCGTTGAATCTATTCCTCTTTTCTTATGCATGTAGAATTATGGATAAGGTTCAAAAGCAAAATACAAAAAAAAGAAAATGTCAGAAGATAGAGTACATAAGATGACCTTTGTGTAAGAAAAGTGGTGTGGTTTCTCTAATTCACTCATTTGCAATAATAATGCTAGGTTCTAACTTTGCTTTCAAAATTACATGCTGACTCCCAAATTATTGTTGTTGTCATCGTCATTATCATCATTAGTAGGTTTGATCGCTTGACCAATTTGCTGGAAACTTGGGTGCTTCATAATAGTGGCTGCATTTTCCATGTCCATTTTAGTTAGTCATTTGTGTGTTAGGGCTTGGCACGTCATATTTGCCAACTTTTATTGTTTTATTGTCTATGGATATACTATATTTTGTTTTCTGGTGAAATATGAGCTATTTGAGAATATTGGGAGTATTTATTCCTTCCAGAAGTAAAATTCTTGCACAATTTAGTTGTCCCAGTAGTGACCATTGCTGGCAATACACTAGTTCTTCTAGCTAGATTCTAATATGGTCAATTTTGCAATGGACCAAGTAGCATACTCGTCTTGGTGTGAGAACAAGCCCTTGGATTTTTTCTTTTTATTTTCAAGAATATAGTTAGGCACTTACTAATATTTGATCCGACAGCTTTGATATTAAAACATATTGATATGTCCAACCAATTCTGTAAGAATGACATAGACTACTTCCTGCAGCTGAAGTAATGGAGTCTTTACATATTCCCAAGGGTTTGAGACGGGTGTTGTTCAGAACCCTACATACTGCCAGGTAAACTTCTGTTCCTAAGCATCCTTTTGTGGGCCATGGTCAGCTGAACTAATGTGGGATTTCCAAATTGTTGGAAATCATGTTGCCCATGCATGTGCTATTGGAGCACTCATCTGAGTATTTTAGTAAATTGTGGTATTAGTGAGTCCTATGATCAGAAGGACAAATTTGATTTGTGCTCTGTTTCATTCTCAGACGGCTTATGTACGAAAAAGAGTTCGACACGAGCCATGTGGGATTCATCAGAGATGGAGCAAAATGGTTGTTAGAGAACACAGAAATTAAACTTGGTAGGATTCGTCCCTCTATATTATTCTGATGCAATCTTAGTGTTCAAATTTCACTAAACCTACCTCTTGAGAAATAGTGCAACTTGATCATCTATTTTTTTTCTTCTTCTGCAACTTGTAGATTACTACATGTTTGAGATTGAGATGCAATCTTGCATGACACAGTCTGTGCTATTCAATGCATGAATTGATTACCTGTCTGTTACCGCATATGATGATTTGATTCCATTCCATCTTATCTTCCTCAAAAGCTAGGTAAGAAATTGATTTGACGTATGACAAACTTCCCCATCAAAATTAAGAATGACCATGTTTCATTGCTGAATTGCCTGGATTTCACATCACTGCATTCTCATATGAAGTCTAGGCTCAAGAAATTGACACTATGGTAAAGCTACAAGAAATTGTTCTTGTTGAGAGCTTGAAACTCGAAGATGTACCCGTGGGAGTGTATACAGTCCATGTCTTCCTTTGAGATTGCTTGGTGCAAAAGGATCACCTATAAGATGCATCCTTATCAAATAACTTCTCCGAGTTTTGTTCTTTTTGAGGGAAATTATTTTGACGACTGTTTTATCTATGATCATCATTATCGTTGTCACACGAGATCAACTTATCCCTGATTGGTTACCATAGAGGTGGCAATTGAAGATTCTTCTGTTGTTTTCGTGACGTTGCATGTGATAATGCCAGGTGCTAACAATATTTCTTTTTTTGTTCCAGGGGAGTAGGAGTTATCAAAAGTGCCAAGTGAGAAAGGCATTGCACGCAATTTCTCCTCAGAACTCAGATTTACTTTGATGGGGCATGTTTTGCAGAGAATGTAGAACTTTAGTGATCATTTGAATATGTAATATTTCTATAGGCAAAGCAGAGGATATGGTTATGTTTACATAGATAATGTTACGCTTTCAAAATAAGACTTGTCTAGGCAAAGCAGAGGATATGGCTATGTTTACATAGATAATGTTACGCTTTCAAAATAGGACTTGTCTGGATTGTTCCTCATGTTTCTTCTTTTCTGTTAATAAAGAGCTGCTGGGGATTGAGTTCATCTGAACACATACTTGACGAGGCCCACCAAAACTGGTTATAGTGACACATGAACAGAAGCCTTTGAGAATCTGTTTGGCTATTTGAGAGCAGTTCTCTCTGGTAGAATTGTACGTGACAAGGGCAAGAAAAAATCGTTTTTTCAAGTCCTATATTTATTTGCAAATGTTTTTGTACATGACATGCGTTTCTGGCGTGGTTTTAGATTGATTTGGCATTAGGATACGCCATTCTCTAGTGTTCTTTTGGTTAAGGCCTCATGGGGGTTGAAGTTTGCTTATATCACTGCAGTTTGATTTTTTTTTTTCCTTCTTTTACAGTCTGGTATCTTCTGCGTTCTTGTGGACTATTTGATTGAGCTAATAGGGGTCTACTCTAACTATGTCCAGGTTTGGCTTGGTCTTACTAGTCATTTCCTGATTCACATTACCGTTTTACTATAACGATACCAGAGGATAGTGTTGCTCAAAGTCTTATACAGGCTAACTTTTTCTGCACCATCAACAGGTAGCTTCTTTACATGTCCACTGTTGAAATAGTGCGCCAACCTAATTTTCTCTCTTCTTTAATGCTTCACTAACCGCATCTTCTTGTTTTGTTCGGAAACCTTCGTACAATCATAGGAGCACTTGGCACCCGCTAGTTACGTGAAGATACAACCGTGAGTATGATTCTGTGTCGAGAGAAAATATTTAGATAGGATGACTTTTTGTTTATATCTTCTTGATGGTCCAAATTTTGTACTTGTTACTCTGTTATCCAGTCAAAAAATTTTATAACCATATCAAAATAGGCATGGCCGACAATACTCTTCGTATAACATAGGAGCAATGCATATTTTCATTGATTCCCTGTTTTTAGTTTCATATATTTGATGTTATTTCTCAATGCAAAATCTCATTTCACTTTCTATTGGGTCAAAAAGTAGATGTTCTTTCAATTAAGCAATGTGTGAATTGCCTTTCGTTTCTGCAGGACTTTGCTATATCTAAAAGGCTCTAGATTTCTCCCAAAATTAAACAATGAACTTGGGGATGACAGAAACTCAGCCTACAAGGAAAGATTTGCTAGCTTGCAGGACCTAGTCCTTATTATGGTTAGTTTTGTATATGTTGTTGATTTTGGACTCGACTTTCGCAGCTTTGTGATGCTAACTCTTTTTATTTCCCTCTAGTTTGAGCAAGACACTGTGTTGATACCAAGGGAAACATCCTGGTTCGGATACTATCCAGATGGAACTTTTGATACTATTTTGCCTCCCCAGGAGTCAATTGATGTATTACCTTGAAATGCAGTTATCAGTGTCCTTATCGGTGCTATTGAATTATTGTAATTCTTGGGTGATACTAATGGTCGCTGAAAAGCAGTTGTAAAGTATTTATGATGGATGAGGGTGGAATCTCCTTGTGGTTCAAAAAGCATGCATTTTGAAAGATTCCATTCTTTTGAGACTATTTCCTGTCCTCAAACCGATTCCATAATTAAGATTTTGCTCAAGGACTTGCACGCACATAAATATATGAAAAACCAAGGGTTTGGAATATACAAAATCTCTGGTAACATTGATATTGACTTGGAATCGAACTTTTTTTATTGCACTTTGCGTAGTCAACCAAGGAATGTAACGGAGAACAAGCTGAAACATTTTATAAGCCTTAGATATGAATGATTAACCATGTTGAAAGTAATGCTGAGGATTGCGAAAGCATTATCTTTACTGAGCTCTTCCTCTACAATCTTATGGTGTGGGAGGGGTATATCCATGACATGGTCTGGAATTACTTTTGGTAGTGATTTATGATTTTCATTTCATCATTGAGCATTAACTTTGAAAAGTCGATAATCGAAGGAAAATTGCATTTACATGAGAAAAATGGACAGAATAGAATGGGCGTAGGAACATATTGTGATATTGTGTTGTCGCTGTGGTGTAAGCTCATCATAACATGTTTTTACCCTTACTCGATGCTACAATTTGCATCCTTTTACCATTAGGACTGGATTGGATTGAAAAAAAGATAAACGTATCTAATCAATGCATTTCCTTGCGGATGGAGCTTTACACCAAGGGTTGGATTGGATTGAAGACCTTGATAGCTAGGAAAGTTAAATTCATCGACGTCTCTGGGAACCATCTCCCGATCTCTCTCGCCGACATGCAAAACTATATAGTACCTTACTCGGTGCATGATGCATCTTTAGCAAAGAACATGGCAACAGGAATGGCTTCTTGTTGTTGGACCCCATGGGTTCAGGGTTTGTATTGAAGAATGGTTACGCTATCCGAGGATTGGTTGGTACTCCTCTTGGCAGTTACCTTTAGCTTCTGCTTAAAAATGTAAGATATGACATACAACGTGATTTGAGAGATCAATTCAAGCAGAAACTGAGGCAGTCAGTGAAGACGAACTGCAAAATAGATTTCGATTTACATGTGACCTAGAGATAAAGCAGTTAGGACTTGATCATTTGCAAAATGTGCACAATGTAACTGGGCTCTTACACCTATCGAGTGAGTTAACCATTTTCACTATGGCATATAATCTATCAACAAATACAGGTGGACCAAATCAATGGTTGAATTTTCCATTTACCTTTATGTACTATACACATAGGTAAATGACCCAACAGATGATAAGATTTATAATACACGAATAAATGATCTGATTAATGATCGAATTACAGTTTACTTATATACATTATAAGCTATAGTATAATATATGTCCGTTTAAATTTCACATGTATTAGCTAATTCTAGTTTCTCAGTAACTCCTCTACTTTTCCATGCAAATTTATTTTATGATTGCTTGCTCTTTCTAGCCTCCAATTTTCATTTCCTAACATTATAATGCTCTTATGGTCTTTTGAAATAATCCTTCCAAATTATTTTATGTAATTTGTTAATTTGGAAATATGACTCGATATAAGAGATAATAAACATGTTAAATTTGTATTTGGAGTTTTGATACGACTTTTCAGTAACATGAGTGGCAAAAAATCGAAGTCATCTACTAATTATTCGATATCGAAATGGTGTAGCTCCGTATCTCCATCTTTCGAGCTATCGGTCAACCCATCAAATGTATGCGCACTGAGAAACTTACACCCGATACACACGATAGTAGTCCAACAAGATAAACAAGTAGTCGTGAAAGAAAGTTAATTCAGCAGTTAGCGCCCAGAAACCTTCCATGTTATGATGGTATCTAACAAAACTACATGAGACTACAAACTGACATTTCCGACTCGCAATTCGCATGGAAACCTCCTGGATAAGGCAAGAAACATAACGACACATATATCACAATTCCAAGCGGGGAGATTTAAGAAAGACATCGAAATCAAGAATTGTGAAGAATCGCCATTGGGAAACTCACAAATACCTGACATAGATGTCGATGGTTTTGCTGTTCTATGATCTGTTATTTGCCGACTATACTATTTCTTCTTCTTACCACCACCAGCCTGAAATTCTTGTTAGTTGCTGCTTTGGCAATATTTTGAGGGGTTTCCTGTTGCATGGATGACACTAATAAACAAGTTGTATAAGTGACATATACGTATCGTAAAAATTAACACTAATATGCTATCTGCCCGACAAGTACCCCTCTCGTTCTAGCATAGAGAGCAAACGTCATCCATCCAATAAAATTTATACAACTCTCTTGCAAAATTGCAGTACCATAAGACATGACCCATTTTTTAGGAAAGGAGGGCATCAACTTGCTTCCAATAATGGGCAAAAACAGCACCTACAAGTCAGGACTTGCTCAATGAATAGGCACTACAAAAAAAGTTGATTTTAGCGACGAATTTTGCCACGAAAAATTTGGCAAAATTCATCGCTAAACGAATTTGCGATGAAATTAGCAACGGAAAAAAATTCATCGCTAATAGACCATCGCAAATTTTGCGACGGAAAATTTGAATTTTCGTCGCTAAATTGCGATGAAAAAAAATTCATCGCAAAATTCGTCGCTAATTATTCATTGCATAATTCATTGCTAATTTTTCGTCGCAAAATTTGCCGCTAATTATTTGTCGCTAATTTTTCGTCACAAAATTTATTGCTAATTTTTCTTCGCAAAATTCGTCGCTAATTTTTCGTCACAAAATTCATCGCTAATTTGCAACGGAATTCTTTTTTTTTGGTCAGTAATTTGCGACGAACTGATTCGTGGCAAAATTCGTCGTTAATTTGCCACGAAAATTTTTTACTTTTGCCACGAACATTGTTCCGAAACGAATTTAACGACGAAATTTTATTAATTCGTCGCAAATTAGCGACAAACTATAAAAATAATTGCGAATGTGCAGCAAAAGTTTATTACAGGTTGGCCTCCTAGTAGTCAAGATAACCATGTGCATCGTAATCACAACTGGCACAGTGCAAACTGTATCTAATCCATGGCTGAAACCTGGTATATCTACCACAAACTCAGCCTTGCGGAGTTCCTTCTAACCTCTGATATCAAGTACATGAATATTAGCAGCAACAGTTCATGCTCTAATATAAATTCTCAGTAAATTACAGTCTTTCCATGAAACTCCTGATACGAAGACAGTTTGCACAGAAATTACATAGGTTGATAACTTTATTTTAGAATGATGAAGTAATGCTGCTGAAGCTAAGCTCCAAAGTATTTTCTAGTATGGTGACCAGGGGGCCACACAATGCCTAAAGGAATTCTACAAGGCATCAGCAACCGGCAATAATGTTGGGAACCCACAAGAAGTCAGTCTAGGGGGCCTTGCCTCAGCAGTAATATGACATCAAACAAGTGAAGCTATCACCATCTCAATTGTCAAAACTATCCACATGTATAATCATTCTGCAAGCACATTACACGGCGGCCTCCTTCTCTGCTTCTTATCAACATCAAATTGCTGCTTGGAAAAAAGAGAAGAGTAAAGATGGTCAACATGTGAGGCGATGTTATGATATGATTCCCTATTCTATTTCATAACCAGTTATAGAATGCAAATACAATGTTTCAAGATACTCTCGTGAAATTAATGCTGTTGTCCATCTATTTGCTTGTTATCTAATCAATAATCAGACTTGCTGTTGTCAATTCATTTTCCATTTGCTCACATGAAAGAGAAAAGGAGCTGTATCTAAGAAACGGCATTGACATTTACGTTACAACCACTAGAAGATATGTAGGTGAAGCAGAAAATGGGAAACCCGAACTCTCTTGGAACCATCAGCCAGACGTTTAAAGGGCAAATGGTTTTCCACGGGAAAAGAATCATTGTTGACCTACAAGTAGATGCAATACAAATGTTAATGCTTTCCTCAAACCATTGAATCTTTGAGATCAAACAATTTATTTAATATATAAATAAATCTTAAGTTACTGTAAGAAGGACAAAGAAAAGTGGGGGATAGAGCAAGGTATAACTTCTCACATACAGGATTCTCAAGACAAGGGTCTCAACAAGAAAGTGCGACATACAGACTTTCACGTCAGTAGAATATCACATCAAGTTTCCAGCAAGGCTAACATTGTCTATGAGGTAGGTTTGTTCCGCAAATTCAAGTTTTAAAGTGCTTGATGATGTAATCAACAAGCTCGTATAGGTTAGAGAAGCATATTGACAAGCAGCACAAATTGATGTTAATGCTATATTCTGATTAAATTCAGATCGTACGTGGTTTTGAATAACCTCTATTAACAATTCTTGACAACCTGACGCATATACATTCTCTAAACTAGGGCACTAAATTAGCAATCGATCTGAGAATGCAAAGAAAATTAAAGTTAGATTAGGATGCAAATTAGGAAAGCATGTGAGATGCATCAATATCCCATTAATTAAAGCACTCAATCAAGACCAATACATTTTTTAAAACGTACCAGTGAGCAAATTTTTATAGGCATTGAGATTCAGGTCATTCAACTCTGGGCAGTTCAAATACAGGGCCTGCATTTCAATCAACAAAATAAGAACCACAAGGAACCCATGGTAACAGAATGCAATATACAAATTATAGGATCTGGGAGTCTCACATCTAAGCCACTACAACCCCACAAGCTGAGTTTTTTTAATTTACTGTGCTTTATAATAAGCTTCTGGTGTATGAGGTGAAGATTGCTGTTAGGCCTTTTCTCCATCCCATGGTTGATGGCTTCATCAGAGATGAGGCTTTCGTCATTACTATCACATACAGTCATACCACAGTCCATGAGTTCAAGAAGAGGCAGCTGAGCTGTGGCAAACTGAATTCCACCTGAAATATATAAACAGTTAGTGAACCCAAAAAAAATGCAAGAAATGATTTGAATAGATTCACGTTCAGCATGACAAACAATGAACCTATAGTGCTAACTGAAAGGAAATGCCATTTATTTACAGAGTAGTCCAGGAAGTTACTTGAAGAGATGTTAGGACAAAGGGCAAGTAGGAGTCTTAATAATGTTTCCGGAAACACATTGCATATCATCCCGATGCCACTGTCACTAATGCCTGACCTGCATGTAACTATAAATTCATGATTAAAAAAGAAGTGCAATTGTTGGGGCTGATGATTAAATTATATTCCTTCATGCTCTAAGCTTCTATGGTCATTACCATTGCGCCCTATTTGTCACACTATTTGAAAGCAAATGTGTTTATATCATGTATGGGAACTTTTGCAAAAGAAAAAAAAAACCATGAATTGACACGATGAAGCTAAATTTTCTATACTACTGTGATATCTCATAAATCAAACAACATAGGACCTCACAGCAGAACATACCCACTGAGATCAGCAATTCTAAATCCGAAAAGCTTGAAGCTATAGCAGCAACAGATGCATCAGTGATTTCTGATCCAAGCACCAGTGATAGCATCCGCAAACCCCTGTACAATGAAAAAATTTAGCAGTGGTCATCAAAGCTGTATCTAATTAATGATGCTTCAATGCTCTTATGGAAAATTTCGGTCTTTAGTATCTAGGAAGTGAACTTAGGATCTATATGATCACTAGACAGCAAAATGTGTGGAACAAGGACTTACAAAGCTCTAGAGCTTAAAGGAAATAAATGCCTGTTTGAAGCTGTTATCATATGCAACATGCATGACCAAGCTACAGAACACACTTTAAATTTGAAGCTGTAAGAGCTAGTACAACCGCATGAGAAAGCTGAACCGACGCAATGTGAATATTTTGTAAAATTGGACAACTAACTTCCCAGACCATCAACTGTGGCAATCAAATCTGTACAATCATTTCCATTGCGAGAGAATTCCAAGGAGATTTCTCTTAAGTTGGGGTAGTTAAATACCTGTAGGGATGTGAAAATGAGTCAGCATCACTTGTTACATCTATCAAAGACAGGAATAAACATGCAAGATACAGAGGAGAGATCCTAGAGCATAAAAAAGCAAAGGGATGCAATTACCATCTTTGAGAGGGAGTTTAGATCAGAAAGCCAGAGTGTA